TTAAAAATGATTATTTTTTCATGTCTTACACAGATTGCTGTCTCCCTTCACCCCTTTTCTGTTGTCTGTCCCCCAGGGAGGGGGTTATACGTAGATCATTCATTGTGATCAGTTTCTCCCATCTTCCCCCCACCCTCCCGGCATCGCCACTCTCACCACTGGTCCTGAAGGGATCATCTGTCCTGGATTCCCTGTGTTCCCAGTTCCTATCTGTACCAGTAAGTCGCCGCCAGTCGCCAGTCGCCCCCCGGCCTCTGGCTCGGGCCCCGCCCCCCGGCCGCAGTCCCCCGCTCCGCGGGACCCGGAAGGCGAGGGGCGGGCGGGTGGGGGCGCTGCCATCTTCCCCCCACCCTCCTGCCTTGTCCACGCCACCCACTCACCTCCGCTGGTGGCTTTGGGGTTTGGCCCACTGTGAACTCCTGTAGCTACGGTAGCATGAATGATTGATTTTCCTCTCATGCAGTTTCCTGGGAAATGAGTAAGTCAGGTCACGTAGAGTCTGGATTTGCTGGGCTCCCCGCCTCCCTCCACACACCTCCCCTTCTCCTTTTGGGCAACGTGGCTAGCTGGATTCCAGCAACACACGGAGAAGCCCGGGACTGCCCTTCAGAAGCCAGCTTTGAGAAGGCTGGATGGAAGGGTACACGCAGACCCAATCGTATATGATTCGGTTGTCCCCGTGGATATTCCGGTCTCAGAGCTCTGCCTCTAGCATAATATGTAGGTGACGCTGGAGACTATTCCAGTGACTTGCGGTATGAAGACGACGTGGTTGTCAGATATGACGTTTACATATTGAATGTCGTGGAAGGGGCTTGCAGGAAGAGCAGGCATGATTTGGGGTCCCTAGTAGATCTATATGTATAGATTTTTTTTTTTCCTTTTGGTTAGGAAACTTCATGGAATAAACCCGAATTGTTTTCTATTAGCCTGCTAGAATGTAGAGACACATGAATGAGTCCCACAGAAAGTGTTTGCTAACTGGGGTGCTGACAGGCTGAAATGTTGCCTTGGGAGGGAGTGCTGGGGGGCAGGAGGAGCTGCCAGTTGTGATTTTGGCTAGGGGCAATTCTTCAGGCCCCTCGGCTGCAGCAGGCGGGTAGAACAGAGCCCCCAGTGTTTACTCTGAGAAAAGAATGCAGGGTCCTTTTCCAGCTGTTCCCTGTTAGAGCTGAGAGGTCTGCACTGCCATTGGATGGCAGGGTCCAGCCCAGGATCCTGGGGCCTGGGTGCGGCTCAAGCTTAGCCCTTGTGGCTTCAGGGTAGCGGCCTCTTGGCTGGTGTGGTGCTGGCGGGGGTGCGGGCGGGGGTGTGTGTGTGTGTGCTGGCAACACTAGAATGGGATGTTTCCATATATAGAATCAGAGGCTGGAAGTGACTGCTGGAGATCCTCGGGGTCCTTTTCCTGATCAGACCGACCTGCACCTGGAGGATGCTGCGCTGCCCAGTGTGGAGGGCCATACTGAGGGAGATTCCCAGGCCCTGCTGGGACTCAGGGCTGGCCACGGGCCCTCGGCGGCTTGCCAGTGCCTCACAAGTGCAGCAGTGGCAGCGCCCGGGCACCCTTCAGTTCAGTTCCCTGGTTATAAATAGCTGACAAGCCGGCCTTCTCTTCTGGGCGTGGAACATAACTAGGAAAGCCGATGGTCTGCTCCCTTTGCTTCTGCCCTCAATGTCAGCTGGTTCACCTGCGCCGCTTGGTGTTCTCAGACTTGACAAACAACGTTATATAAACTTTTGCTCATCGGCTGTCGGGGCAATGGGTCTGCCCCCACCCCCAGTTTTCATTTTATGGAACGTAAAAGATTTCATTTCTGTTGGACTTTCGTGTCAGCAGGGAATAGTTTTAAAAGATCTTTGGGTTGGCCAAGTGTTGGGGCAACAGCTTTTGCTTTTGTTTTTTTCCCTTTGAGTAAGCGAGAGGGCTTTCTTCAGCAGAACAGCTTAGCAAGGCAAATAAATGTAGGATATTTAAAAAGTTAGGTAAGAGATTATTTAAAAAGAAGCTCCTTAGTTTAAAATGTGATGCAGTTTAATAAACAAAACTTGGGAACCACTGTTTTTATTTTTGGTTTTAATCATGTGGTAATTTCCCCCACAAAAACAAAAATTCTTAAAACCATACTTATTTTGTGTAAAGTTGTTGGCTACCTGTTTGTGCTGCTAACTGATATGAAAACCAAATAGGACAGAGTAGAACTGCTCCTGGGGGTTTGTGAGACTGTAACCTCATCTTTCTCCCTCAGAGCAGCTGGTGGTTTCGATCTCCCGACTTCACTGTTAGTAGCCCGGTTCATCTCCCACCCCGCCACTAGGGTTCCTTGCTAACTAATATAGACATACAGCACATAGAACCTAATGGTTAAGCCCATATGGGTGCAATGGCTAACCGCTCAGCCTCTCACTGAAAGACTGGCAATTTGAACCCTCAGCAGAAAATGCGTCTGTCTGCTTCTGTGGAGATACAGCTTTGGAGTATGGCCGTTGCCACCCTGAATGCATGCGCCCAATCACCTCTGACCTCTGATCTGGGAAGCGAAGCAGGGCCCGGCCTGGTTAGTACTTGATTGGGAGGTAGCACTTTGGAAGCCCTGTGGGGCAGTTCTCCTCCATGGGACAGGCTCTCTGTGAGTTGGAATCAACTCAACAGCAGTGGATAAATGTAAAGCTAGGGACCCCTGTCCAGCTCCTGGGTTAATCTTTGCATCAGTTGCTTGTAAATGCGAACACTTGTTTGTTGCATGGCCAGGGGGAAAGTTCCCCGCACATTGTTGGATGGTTTGCTTTGTATTTGGAGTGTGGGATCCATAAAAGCAGCGTGGTCTCTTGTGGTGTTCCTGACTCTGGGAACCAACCACAAATCAGGAGGGACCAGAAGCACCTACTTAGGAAGCAGCGGAGATATTGGAAGTCCAGGGCTGTCCTCAGAACCTCCCCCGGGATGCACTGAATCTTCTTTTAGATTCAGTTTCAACATGTTTTTTGTTTTTAATTTGGAAAAATAGTCCATCGCATGTTAAGAGTAACACATTTATTTATTTATTTATTTATTTTCGATACCATTTACTATGTTTCTGGAGGAGGTTTACACAACAGTGTAGGTTCCCGTTCAGAAATTTCTGCACATATTGCACAGTCACATGGGTCACATCCTTTCGTAATGTGTCAACATTGTCATTCTTCTTGGGTTTGTTTTTTTTGACCCTTTATTCGCGTATAACTCATGTATCATATTATTCAATCGCTTAAATATATCCAGTTAGCTGCCAAGCACTTAACCTCTGCACCACCAGGGCTCCTCGCTTAAATATATTGAGAACAGCTGTGCAAGAGCAGCACATCTAGAAAGAGTCTTGTTGGCATAGTTGGTTACTCGTTGGGCTGCTAACTGATATATTGAGAACAGCTGTGCAAGAGCAGCACATCTAGAAAGAGTCTTGTTGGCATAGTGGGTTACTCGTTGGGCTGCTAACTGATAGGTCATTGGTTCGAAACCACCAGCTGCTCTGAGGGAGAAAGTCGAGGCTTTCTGCTCACATAAAGACTTATAGTCTTAGAAACTCCCAGGACACTTCTCTGCCCACTAGGGTTGCTGTGAGTCAGAATCGTCTAGGTGGCAGTGAGTGAGGAGGAGCGGCTGTAACAAGCAGTTAAAGTGACCTTTAACAGCCTGACAGCTAGAAGAGAAGAGACAGGAAAAATGATACCTTTACACACAAGAATTGGGGTAGGCGATGGGTAGCTACGAGGATTTAGGGATATTGAAGCCAGTACCTCAGTCTGCCCAACAAGTATCCTTTTATAGTAATCTAAACTAGTATTCACTGTTTACATTCTGATGACAGTGCACTACTAAAAAAGATAGTTTTGTGTTGTGTGTCTGCATCTGTCATCACTATTTTGAAAACTCATTCATTGGCCAGCACAGAAAGTCTATTCATTCAATACGAACGCCCAATTTTCCTCTCCCCTCCCGCCTCACCAAGTCCCTGGTAACTACTAATCTCCCTTCTGCTTTAAAAAGATACGTTATTTTAATTCTACTTTAAGAAGGTGGGGAAATGGGCAATGCGTTTTAGAAATATTGACACCCCAAAATCATTAACCCTCAGGCTATTTTGGTGTGTAAACTTCTTACCCATTCAGAAAAGTCAACTGTGCAGAATGACTCATTCAATTGGATGACTGAGGTGTCCTATATCAAAATCATTATGCGTCACTGACTTTCTATCAATTAAACAAACACAGCCTTGGAGAGACTTTCATGCTTGGCAGCTGGAAGCCACATTCATATCTGGGACATGATCTCAGTATAATAAAGAAAAAACAATTCGTGATAGTGTAAACTTGGCTCTGCCTTCCCCAGGAATTGGCTTTAAATAGAGATGTTCTGCATATTAAACATGGTTTATTTGAGATCTGTGGGTTGTATTTTGGTACCACTTTTCATTTTATTAGATTAGGCTACATGGAGCCTCTGGTGAGTCCCTAGTTTATCCTTTGCCTCACATTCATGGTGGTCTGGGATCCAAGAAAATGATTGAACCTGTCAGTGTAGATTCATTCGCCCACTCACCCTGGATTTAGCTGGTGCTTGTTGGTCACACCAGCTCTTCAAGCAGACTTAGGTCTCCAAACCAAAAAACCCAGAGACTCTGAAACTTGCTCTTGATCATAAACTCAAAACCAAACTCCCTGCCCTAGAGTTGATTCCAACTCATGGCCACCCAATAGGAGAGCGTAGTTCTGCTCTTGAGGCTGTAACTCTGTATGGGCGTAGAAAGCCTCATCTTTCTCCCTCAGAGTGCCTGGTGGTTTCAAACTACTGACCTTGTGGTTAGCAGTGTAACTTATAACCTATTATACCACCAGATTTGTTTCAGGACACTCATAAC